TCGAACATTGGCATCAAATCCGCTTCACAGAGGTACGACGCACGATATATGAATTTATCGAAACTAAAATGGAGGGAGAAAAAAAGTTTCTTCGTGCTTTAGAAGCTTTAATACTCCCGGGACCGTTCCTTCATCCCCAGTTTCGTGTTCTCCGGATAAGGTCGTTCTTGAATCCATAGACGGGGAGATGATGGGGTAAAGGCTCGGGGTGGAAAAAACGAAAAAAAAAAAAAAGTAATGTTTTAATCCCGTGAAAGGGTCTCGGTCTCGGCTTCCGAAAGTAGATAAAGCCACGTTTCTCGTGCCAGCTTTCTGGTTCCTGGTCCCCGAGCATATCGGGCGGCAGACTCTTAAAATTTAGATCGCGGTTTAACAGCAAAGAAACTCGAGAATTATACCCGTGATACCCGTGCTCGACTAGACTATGAATCTATCGGCGATGTGCAAGGAATGTGGTATTTTCTTGAGAATATCGCGGTCCATCGATCGGTTTTATATATCGAGCACACGGCATCCCAGAGAAGCCAGAGACGCCCTCGATTTCGAATGGATACGGACCTCTCAGACATCTCCTTTAATTGGATCACTCTTCTTTCACGATTATCCGTCAAACTTCATTGTTTGCCAATTCAAAGTGCCCTCCTCCCTTCCGCGAGCGTATCCAGAAATTAGTTTTGTTCCTGAAATCGATAGTTCGAATCCGATAGGGGAATGTTGCAAAAAAAATCGGTGGGTAGGGTGGAAAACAATCGGTTAACGGGAAATAGAGAAATACAGCGCGCGTAATTATCGACTTTTTGATTTCCACGTGAAACGGATTATCGTCCCGGAGAATGATTTCGTTATTACCGGCGTTATGAGACATTATCCGGGTTTATACATACATACGTACGTGCGTGCGTGCGTGCGTGCGTGCGTGAAGCACCACCTGGCTCGGTATCCAGCCTATATTATTATCATTTTAACGGCATTATTATCGTAAAACCGGCTTGCACGAGTTCGCGAGAAAGGGCTAAACGAAATATATATAATATTTCTCGAAACGGAAACGTCAGTGGAAAATAGTGTATCCGTTTCCAAGAGGTATGTATATATACATACATACACAATACATACCAGACGCAACCTGACAAGGTTCGTTTCACGTCGTTCTCTTCGTTTTCGGAAGCACCGTAGAGAGGGTGGTGGTGCTCCACCCAGGGAGTGACTCCGTTTGACGCGACACGCATTTTACATGGGGAACGAGCAATTTATCGGCCCTCCAGACGGTCGCCGAATGTCGAAGCAGCCCCCTTGTTTCACGACATCGCGTAAAACTCGAGTGGCTGCAGAAAATTCTTACTCGCGTGCTTACCTACGAGTCCTTCACACATTTTCTTAAACCGTTCGCAATTTCCGATTTCTCGACGTCGGCATGGCACGTCGGCACGTCACCGTCACGGGTTGTCTCGTGACATTCCGGCTGTTTCGACCTTTTTCGCCTTCGAATATTTCACGTTTGGTTCTACCAAAAGCGGAACGTGGATGACCCATTTTCTCAAATTTTCCCAGCGCGTTCTTTACAATATTCCCTTTATACATACGTAGGGATATCAAACAGTTTCCGGAACAAGGCTGCCATTTTGTTTTGCCAAGTCACAGTGGTGAAAACGATTTTTCGGAGTATGTATAGTGAAGTGTTCTTTATGGAATTCCAGAATTTTATTTTGGTTACTTGATTTTCTACTATTTAATCGCGCGTAGGAAAACTACACAGAAGAAGCATTGAATTATTATAAAAATCGGAATTTCTATGTTTAATCAATTCAGAATAATGAAGTACTTTCTTTTTATCTTCTATCTGTTATTCCAAACTCTTTATCTAGATAATGAATTTGCCACTCTCAAAATTAGTCGAAGCACCGTATCCGCAAGATTTCTAGAGAACTCGAATGAGAAAGGCACTTACTCCCCCGCGGAAATTTACTCCGTCGCGGAGTTTAAGCTCCCGAAGGAGACGAAGCTCGGGATGCCCTGAAACTCTCACGGGGCAAAAGGGTTCTACATATAGTCCCCTCTCTTTCTGCACCAAATCGAGTTTGTTTCGCCTGCAGGAATCCGAGAAAAAGTTAATTAATAGCCGCCCCGCGTCGAACCATCGAACTCTTCACAGGGTGTTCTGGACTTCCAACCCCCTTCGAGCTTTTCTTCAAAGACGAGAGTGGTCCCGAGTGGGGGATCGGTTGATTCAAACGAGGGGGAGCTGACTCTCGAGACACACCATGAATCAAGCACCCAGAACCATCCCCTAGTTATCTCTTATATTAATCGAAACTCTACCTTAGGGGTAAAAGCGAACAAGGGTGGTGGGCTAGAGAGATTTATCGGAAGGACTCTTAAGTGGTTGGAATCTCGAGTCGTTTCCAAGCCTTTTACCCTCTCCCCCCAAAGTGTTCTGCGCTTCTACCGCCTCTCCACTTCCCCCCTCCCTCCGCGGAAGATCTAGCACCCTGACCTCCGGCTTGGTTTCACGCGAAGAGGGGAAATTAGACCGCGGACGAGGGGTGCACGGGGAATTATCGCTCGTTATCGTCAAGGCGCGAGCAGCTCCCTCCATCGTTTACCCTCTTTTCTGTTCCACTCCCCAACCCCAAACCCCTTCAACGTTTTTTTTCTT